ATCTTCACTTCTAAAGCTAGGTAAGTTCTAATTTTTCAAAGTTTTATTCATTTCTGTTATATACTTCACATCTATTTTAGTATTATTATAATATATGGTCAGTTTAGTGTAGAGAATAATGATGGAGATATGTCATAAAACTTTTATCAATTAATATTTGTAGAGATTTAAATTTAAATGATACTACATTAGATTAATAACCTAAACAGAGACATTGAGTAAAATGAAAAGATTAAAATAAAGAGTGGAAAAAAGTACTTAAAGAAACTAACTTAACACAAATTCTTTATAATTCATCCAGGAGATTATATGATAAATTTACTTAATTTAATATTATTTATAATAGGGATTAATATTAAAAATAATAAATTATCAACTTTGTAAGATTGAGTTTTAATTCATAAATAGTAAAAGATATGTATTAAAAGTATTAGATAGTCTAAAAGACTAAAAAGATACATTAATCATCAAGAAGTATTATATCCTGTAAAAGGATTAAGATTTATGGAGAAAATTATATCTTCTCTAACTTGAAATTTTACATACATTAAATAATTAACATTTATAAATCACTGAGATTATGTATCATCACTGTTATTTTCAAGAGGATTTTCACTAAATTAATGAATATCTGAATAAAAAATACCCCTTAACACTACTCAAATCTTTATAAATTCATCAACTGGTTAAGTATTACAATTAAATTAATAAATTTAGAAATTAAACAAAATTTATATTTAAAGTTTGGAGAAAAAAAAAGAATTATTATACGTCTTTATAAATGATTTTGGTAAAATACTTTACTTTTTCACCTCTATTAATGAATTAACCCCCACTGCTATATTTGATTAATTGAATAAGAAATTTATAGAATTAATTACATATATTAAAGGAAGAAAATCAATGATCTAAATTTTTGGGTATACATAAATATTTATTTATATGTTCATGATTACAAAATTATAATTAATTGATTATTCAATAATTTGTAATTTTTCTTATAATTAAGGGTTATAGATATTTTATAATCCTTGATTAAGAGAAATTAATTTTATAAACATAATTTAATGTTAAACTCCATTATAGTTTAATTTAGAAATTCAATCTTCTTAATTAACATAATTTTTATATTCCTCAGATAATTTTAATTCTCTCCTCATCTACTTTCGCTTTTATCTATTACCTCCAGTGGCATCAGGGGTAGCCAAACCCTTTAAGCCATTAAAGATAACAGGTGAGAAGAATACCATTCAGGGAAATACTAGAACAAACTATTCATACTTATTCATACTACTTAAAAAAATCAACTTTTTAAACTATAAACTTTTTTATTCATGATTTCAATTCTCCAAGTTTTAACATCATGCATTTTACATATTGTAAGGAGTGAACAAGATTTTGTTCAGATATATTCCAATCTTTAAATTGTTAACTACAATCATTAATTATGTTTAAACAGAGATGATCAACAATAAGAATGAATGAATCAATCCATTATAGAATTCAAATTATGTATAAATTAAAATATTCATATAAAAATAAGAGATTCTTGTTCAAAAATTTAACTTAGAAAAAGTTTAATTGAATTTTTAATGAAATATTCTTTCTCTAATATCATTAATTCCAATTCTACAATTTATGTAAATGCATAAGATACTTTTATCGATTTTGTGGTATATAATTTAAAGTTAGAGTAATAGAAATTCATTAAAAAAATAAAAAAAGAAAATGCAAGGCTCTTTTTAAGTGAAGGAAACTCTAGCTGACATCTTTGATTAAGTAAAAGATGTAGATATACGAAACTTTGGGGCAATATTAGAAATATTAAGGAAGGAAAAAGCTTAAGACGGTATTGGTTTTCTATCAGACATTTGGAATCAGAGAAAGTTAGAATCATAAATTTTATAACAAGTAGGAAATTTAGCCCAAGCTGATACAGAATAGTAATTGTCTGTTGTTAGAAATGAAATCAAATAAATCACAGAAGTCTTAAGAAAATTAAAAGACCATGACTTCAATAAGATTGACTATTCTTTTGAAGAAAATGAAGAATCCACTTAAAGTTTAATTAATAGTATCAAGGATTATAGATAGATATTTGAATTTCTTTAATTTTTAGTTCACCTCACATCCATTGATGAAACTTTGATATAAGTTGGGTCTAATTCCTTACATTTATTAGTTTAGATGAAAGTGGACCTTAGCATGAAAAATTTGGAAAATATTAAGATCTAAAATACTTCTTTGGTGGGTGCTAATTTTGTTAGGTGTAATTTTAGTGGATCCTAATTTCATAATGTTAATATAAGCGGAATAAAAATAAATGGAGCATTATTATTGAATTGTTAATGGAAGAATTTAAAAATAAAAGAATTAAATATATTCCATGGTCATACTAGTTATGTTAACTCAGTCTGTTTCTCTCCTGATGGAAATACATTAGCTTCTGGTAGTGTAGATTAGTCTATCCGTCTATGGGATGTTTAAACAGGATAATAAAAAGCCAAATTAGATGGTCACAATTAGTCAGTTAATTCAGTATGTTTCTCTCCAGATGGAAATGAATTAGCTTCTTGTAGTAATGATTATTCAATCATATTATGGGATGCTAAAACAAGAAAGAAAAGAGTCAAAATATTTGGTCATACTAGTTTTGTCTAGTCAGTCTGTTTCTCTACTGATGGAAATACATTAGCTTCTGGTAGTAGAGATAAGTCTATCCGTTTATGGGATGTCAAAACAGGATTATAAAAAGCCAAATTAGATGGTCATAGTAATTGTATTAACTCAGTATGTTTCTCTCCTGATGGAAATACATTAGCTTCTGGTAGTAATGATAAGTCTATCCGTCTATGGGATGTCAAAACAGGATTATAAAAAGCCAAATTAGATGGTCATAGTGAATGGGTTATAGTAAATGGGTCTCATCAGTCTGTTTCTCTCCTGATGGTAATACATTAGCTTCATCTAGTGAAGATAAGTCTATCCGTCTTTGGGATGTGTAAAATGGAAAAGAAATTTAATCTGCTGATAAAAAATTTAAAGATATTCTTGCTAAATTCAAAGCACCAATATTTTCAAATAATCCTCTGCCAGGTATTTCATTATTTATTACCTTTTAGAATCCAACAATATTACAATTCTAAGAATATCTTAAACACCACTATTCTAAGCGCAAGGAGCATTAATCTTGAAAGGAGAATTTATCAATTATGAGGGATACGATCTAAGATCATTATTCAAATCCTTAGGAAGTTGCATTTTAGAAGACTTTAAGTAAAAGTGATTATTCATTAACAACATTACAACTATAATACCATATATATCTAATAATTTTTTTATTCTGTCTTTATTAGTTTCCTTCTTAATTTTCACTTGCTAGGTAAGTTCTTATTTTTCAAAGTTTTTTTCCATTTTAGTAATATATACACTATATTTATTTTAATATTATTATAATATATGGAGGGTAGGGTGTCATAAAACTTTTCTCAATTAAATACTACATTAAATTAATAATCAAAACAGAGAATAATAAGCTAATGAAGAGATTAATATAAAGATAGACTTTTTAAATAATCTAGGATATTGTATGATAGATTTACTTAATTTATTACTATTTGCAAAAGGGATTAGTCTTCACAAAATAATTAATAATTTTGTAAAATTTATTTTTTAGTTATATAGGAAAAGATACAATCACTAACAAAGATAAGAAATAAGATACATCAAGAATTATAAAATAAAATTAATCTCTTAACTATTACAAAGTTAAAACAAAAGATTGAAAGATTTTTTAAATTACTCTATTCTTGGTATTATTTTCATAACCTTTTATTATTATTTGTTAATTTATATATATTAAGAGTATTAGATATTTAAAAAGACTGAAAAGATGTATTAATCATA